TTAATGAAGATATTGAACAAAACTGGCCCCAGGACCGACCCTTGGGGCACTCTGCTTGATACCGGCTGCCAAGTAGACATGGAGCCATTGATCACTACCTGTTGAGCCCGACGATCTAGCCAGCTTTCGATCCACCTTATAGTCCATTCATCCAGCCCATACTTCTTTAACTTGCCAGCAAGAATACTGTGGGAGACCATATCAAAAGCTTTGCTAAAGTCAAGGAATAACACGTCCACTGCTTTCCCCTCATCCATAGAGCCAGTTATCTCATCATTGAAGGCAATTAGTTTAGTCAGACATGACTTGTCCTTGGTGAATCCATGCTGACTGTTCCTGATCAGTTTCCTCTCCTCTAAGTGCTTCATAACTGATTCCTTGAGGACCCGCTCCATGATTTTTCCAGGGACTGAGGTGAGGCTGACTGGCCTGTAGTTCCCCGGATCCTCCTTCTTCCCTTTTTTAAAGATTGGCACTACATTAGCCTTTTTCCAGTCATCTGGGACCTCACCCCATTGCCATGAGTTTTCAAAGATAATGGACAATGGCTCTGCAATCACATCTGCCAACTTCGTTAGCACCCTCGGATACAGCGCCCAATGGACTTGTGCTCGTCCAGTTTTTCTAAATAGTCCTAAACCACTTCTTTCTCCACAGAAGGCTGGTCAACTCCTCCCCATACTGTACTGCCCAGTGCTGAAGTCTGGGAGCTGACCTTGTTCATGAAGAGAGAGGCAAAAAAAAGCACTGAGTACATTAGCTTTTTCCACATCCTTTGTCACTAGATTGCCTCCCTCATTCAGTAAGAGGCCCACACTTTCCTTTACCTTCTTCTTGTTGCTAACATACCTGAAGAAACCCTTCTTGTTATTCTAATATCTTTTGCTAGCTGCAACTCCAAGTGTGATTTCACTGATTTCACTCCTGCATGCCTGAGCAATATTTTTATACTCCTACCTGGTCATTTGTCTAATCTTCCACTTCTTGTAAGCTTCTTTTTTGTGTTTAAGATCAGCAAAGATTTCACTGTTAAGCCAAGCTGCTCGCCTGCCATATTTACTATTCTTTCTACACATCAGGATGGTTTGTTTCTGCAACCTCAATAAGGATTCTTTAAAATACATGGAACAGAGTTCTGTATTGGGTGCACGGCGAGTCATGCACGGATGTGCTAAGACTGCAGCATCATGAGGGACTTGAGCACCTCTGTCTGGCTCTCCTTTCCAGGCTATCCAGCCTGAGTCTTTCATTGATTGTATCCCTCCAAGTTCTTGTTTCACTATCTGCTGCATCTGTTGACTGCAGCAGTTTGCAAAACATATCCTCCTTACTTCTCCTGGTTCGCTGCCTTATCTGGTTGAGGCACTCCACCGGTGTGTTGGACTGGGTCCTCAGGGATACATCTGCAGAAGCCAAAGATACAATGAACAAAGACAGTATTGTGGGATCTCTCACAGCTGTGAATCACAAAAGTTAAACACACCCCTTTCTCATTGTCCCTTTGCTAGCACACAGCTTGGTCAGAGTTGGAAATATGGTGAGTTTGGTTGGGGGGGGGGAGAGTTGGGAAGGGGGAATGGGCAAGAAGGGACAAAGGGTTGTTTGCAAAGAGGGACACTACACAAGCCTAGGGAGAGTATTCTGAATATTGGCACCCTTTTCCAGGTGCCAATTAGGGTAATCAAACCCAATATTTCACTCTTGAGGGAACCCAGAATGCAAAGGTGCATCTCCTGCATGTGTGCAGCTTCTGACCAGGTCTGTATGCTGCTCACCTGTGTGCTGCTTTGGTCCCTGCAGAAATATTTGCTGGTTGCCATGACAAAGTTTCCTTCAGGGAAGAAACAAGGCAGCTCTGCCAACGGACCTTTGGCAGTGGATTGCAGAATACCTATAGGAAAGTTTCCTAGATATCACTATGGAGGATTCCCAAGACATCCCAGGGTACTTTTCCACCAAGGCCCACTGCATAGCTGCATAGGCTTATTTGTTAATTTCTGTTCCTTATCCCTCCTTTACCATATAACAAAGTACATGGGAGCTCAATCTCCTCTCACCATGCAGTATCAAAGCAAAATGCTTACCAGAGCTCGCATCCCCTGCTTCATGTACACCAGAGCTGGACTGCTGGGACTGGCTAGACCCCTCCGGAGTCAAAAAGAGGTCCTGATGCACCGTGCCACTGAACGGCCCTGTCATGTGTTCCACATCCTCCTCCAACTCGATTTCCTCATCTACCACTTTGTCCTTGGGGTTGACTCCACTGGCCGCTACCTCTAGTCCCCCCAAAGTGTCCACAGGGCTCTTGGCCATCAAGATTGGGTCACTTTCAAAGATGGCATGCAGTTCCTTGTAGAAGCACCATGTCTTCGGCACCGCACCAGAACAATGGTTGGCCTCCCTTGCCTTCTGGTATGCCTGCCTCAGCTCCTTGATCTTAGCACAATACTGCTGTGTGTCCCTTTTATGCCCCTTCTCTTGTATCCCACTAGCAATGAGCCTGTAGATATCAAATTTCCTACAGCTTGAGTGAAGCTGTGACTGCACAGCCTCCTCTTTCCACAGACCCAGCAGATCCAACAGCTCCGGTGTATTCCAGGTGAGAGCGCATCCACTGCTGAAAGCTGGCATGGTTAGCTGGGAAGATGCTGTGTGAACTGTCCATGCTGAGCAAACAGGAAGATGAATTTTTAAAATTCCCGGGCCTTTAAATGGGGGAGGGGCACATGGCTGTGTACTTTCAGGGCAGCGATTTCAAACTGCTGACCAGAGTGGTCATGATGAGCATTGTGGAACACCTCCTGGAGGCTAATTAGAGTGAAATAAGCAAGTGTACTATTTACACTAACACTGCATCGATCAAACTTCATCGCAAAAAGCTCTACACCTCTCATTGACTTGGTTTTATTTTGTTGGTGTAGCAGGAGAGTTAAATCAGTGGGAGGAGCATTGTAGTCTGTACACCTCCACTGTTTTGTTGACGAAAGCTGACTTTTGTCCAAAAAACTGTGTAGTGTAGACAAAGGCCTTAATAGCACTACCTTCCTGAGGTGATACGAAGGGTTTTGAGCTGCTTTCTTTTGTTTCCAAGCACAGCACTCAAAAAAAACCAAAAACAAAAAACTGCTTTGCCACCATTAACTGAAAAGGGGAAAAATCAAAATAGGGTGGCAACAATAGACCATAACAGTAAGAGTTAATAAATTCGGTAACTCCTCACTTAACATCGTCCCGGTTAATGTTTCGTTGTTACGTTACTGATCAATTAGAGAACATGATCGTTTAAAGTTGTGCAATGCTCCCTTATAACATCGTTTGGTAGCCACCTGTTTTGTCCACTGCTTGCAGAAAGAGCAGCCCATTGGAGCTAGCTGGCGGGGTCTTGGAACCAGGGTGGACCAGCAGCCCCCCTATCAGCTCTCCTAAGTTCCCTGTGCGGTAGCTGCCCAGCAGGCTATCAATTGCCGGGCAGTTCAGCTGTCCCTTCCCCCACTGCCGTGTGTTGCTCCTGCCCTCTGCCTTGGAGCTGCTCCCATGAGCCTCCTGCTTGCTGCGCAGGGAGGTGGGGGAAGAGGGGCGCTAATATCAGGGTGTCCCTCCCCCCCCCACTCCTGCACCCCATCTCCACAGAGTGGGGGGGGGCGGGGACATGACAGGGATCAGGGCGGAGGGAGTTTGCTGGGAGTAGCTGCTGTCTCAACTTGCTGATCTACTTAAAAAGGCAGTGTACTTAGAGTGCGGTCAGCATACTTAAAGGGGCAATGCACGTCTCTCTCTCTCTCTCTCTCTCTCACACACACATACACACACACACACACACACACACACACACACACACACACACAGTGGCTGTCTCTGTCTCTCTCTC